TACAGCAAGTTTATATTGTACCATGGAGGTTCCTTAAAACCAATATAGACTCTATTCCACATGTTTCCTTGTAGATGTTAAATCTGTACATAGTACTGAATTGATACGTTGTAGTGGTTTGAATTTGCAACCCTAGGGACAAAGCAACACATGAGGTAGAAATTAGGAGAGTTATGAACAAATAGACTTTAGATAAGAACCACTGTTTGCTCCATTGTGTAAGTTACCTTCTTGTCCCTCTGCTTCATGCCTTTGGTCTTCTGCTCTAGAGACAAGCCCAGCATCTCTGCCCTGTCTCTCAGCTGCGTCTCCAAGCTTTCCAAAGCTTCTCCCCCTGCTTTCTTACTGCCCCTCTCTTTCCTCCTCTTCAACAGATAAAGCCTGATGGAGGGGAGCAACAGTAGGTGATGTGACATGCAGGGAAGGAGAAAGAAGTAATGTTCAGTTATGTGAAGACACACAATAAGGCAGATTATCATAATAATAGGGAGGAACTTTTTTTGGTCACTGATCTAAGCAAGCATTAAATGCAGTATCCCTGTACTCAATTTGTTGTAGTTTGATCATATACTACAAAATTTAAACACAACAACCAATACCAGATGGATTGCCTCTACAAGTCATATTTTATGATAATTATTCAACATGTTTTCTTTCTTTCCTAAACAGACAGCTGAAAGTAATCACAAGTATATGTTTGGTGACTATGTGGTCTTAAGTACTCACAGGACAGCAGCAAACACGTTGTCTCCCATCTGTGTGATAGCGTAGCCTTTCTTGGCTTCATTTTCTGCGACAAACGAAGGAAGGGAGTCTGGAGTATCTCTGGCGGATTTTTGGAAATAATAAAATTAGAAATCAGAACTCCATATCGTCAACCCCTCACTAGCTAAGTTGTCTCGCACTGTAGCTGGTACAGTAACAGTTAGTAGGCTAAATCAAAGGGTCACTAGGGGACGTTACAGCATTGTAATTAAAGCAATTACACTGGCTCAGCATCTTTAACAACTGCAGACAGCAATAAGTACCTGTAGTACCCGATGTGATGCTGACTGTCCTCACTCCCCAGGAGGATGGTCTGAAACTCTGGTGGGTCATAAAAATACCTCCAGTGAAGGTAGAAGTTGGGTTCGGGATTCTTGGAGGTTTTGTGAGCGCCTGCCAGAATTTCAAAAGGGCCGACCAGCTGCAAACCCAGTGCGTCTTTCAGAGCACCTATATGGAGATTAAAATGTCACTTTGAATGTCACTTTGGAACTTGTAAACTTAAAGTATTGATACATTTCTTTGACTGTTAATAGACCAAATGATTGTTGATGCTTATATGGTACATTAAACAGCGGTGCTGTTTAGACTGACATTAACTGGCAGTACTTACACTGAAAAGCACAACTCCAGACCATGAAAGTGCTTCTCAAAGCAAAACTGACAAATAATAAAAGGAAAATCTAACAAAGACACTTGAGTAAAGTCTGGTCAGCAGGTTTCCTTAAATGTTGGGCTGCTAATGTGTATTTTTACCAGTGGTCTCTTAGAGCATTTGCGCATCTAACCCAACCCCCCAGACTTTCCTTTGGGTCCATCCTGTGTTCTCTCTGTCTACAGACAGAAACATTGATTAAATGTCAGACACGCCTTCTGTCCTATCAGTATTGTACAAGATACACTGTTAGTGTAAGCAGCATACCACAGGGGTTGTCAGGACAAAGCTCCTTGCAGAAGTCCCAGAAGTGGTACAGATCCTCTGGCATTTGAAGCTTGTATAGTTGCATGATCTCCTCACGCTTAACTGAATCCACCTCTGACAGTGGTGCAGCTTTAGATTCATCAGTACGGGCTTTCTTCACCTCCCCATTGCCTGTACCCGATTCCTAAAGAAATGTATTGTAGAAGAAACAAATACGTTATAATATATATATATATTGTTGTTATTTTGATATACTAACTACAACTTATGTATAACAGGCCTACAATAAATTAAACTGTACTGGCGTTTCACAATATTATCAATCACCCAATTTATATCAATGATTATATATCAGCTATCCGCCACCTTGCCCTCTAAATATCGGTATTAGCCATTAAAAAAACCTATATTGGTCGACCACTACTTGGTGTAGGAATTGGTAAGGGATTGGCTTGATTTCTATGTCAAGAGTTAATAACAAATTATCTGTCTGTGTGGAATAATGGTTTTAAATGATAGACAGATGCAATGCTGGTCACTATTGATCAATTAAGGGAGGGACCTCTGGAGCAGTTTGATATACGAGGTATATATATGAGGGATTTATACATATTTTCAAATTCTGCATTATGTGATGAGACACGGGGAATGGAAGAAAATAAAAAGACTTCCAGGTATTTCATTAACATTACAAATAATATAAAGACAAATAAAGACTAAAAAACAAACATCCCAAAATTTCCCAAATCTACAAAACTAAAACTTGATTTACTGGAAGTTTCTATATATTACAATATACAATATAATAACTGCAGACAAAGAGGAAATGTGTCTGAATAGTCAAATGTGGAAAGAATTTGACTGGAAGACAAAAAGAAGATATTTCAGATGCCCACAAGTGACACCTACATTCACCAGAGGTGTAGGTCACCATCCCCCACTTCCTCACAGTGAGTCTGGTTGTAAAGGAAGGTTAATGTTGATGATTGTGTTTTTTAAATCTGTGTTAAAGGAGAAATACACACAAATACCCAACAGCATCCCCAACCACAGCCTCCATCAAGTTGAATCGACACAATTCTTAAACAGTGTAAACAAAGCCCGAATATAACCCACATCAATAGGATTTATTACAAGGTTGTTGTGTTGGTTTAAATACACTGACAACTGCATTGCATTAAGATCATATTAGGCCTCATACATATAAGCTGTGTTCAGTGCTTTGTATTTTGTACCGGGGGCAGAGGGATGTAAAGGAGACTCCTTAGGATAACCTCTAACACATATATAGTTATATATCAAAATATGTATTAACAACTGTATGCAACCTTTGCTAACTAATATTAGCCTTATGTGGCACTGATTTATTGCCTTTGTGAGATCAAACCACGAATCAAATAAAGACACAGACCGGTTCTTCAGACTAGCCTACCTAGCTCAAAAATACTGATATAACGTTAGTCCACGACTCAACGTGACTAACGTGTAGCTACATTACAAACAACATCGAAACATTATGGTGAGATACAGTCAATGGTGTGTAGACAGTTGTGAACATCAATGAAGGAGCAGCGTTGCGGTGCTGCTGCCATGTTGTCGTCTGACCACTGCTGCTCAGACAGCGTGCCAAACACTTCTGCCCATAGGGTTTAACACTGGTTGCCTTTGTCGCCATTGTAACCACGGGCAGCACAACTCCTTGTCCGGTAAAACCGCGCTTTGAATGGACATTTGTGCAGCTCAACAGAGGCGGTACAAAAACGGTGTAATATTACCTTGCTGGATTTGGGTTTTCTTTTTGCGCGCCCTGTCATTTTCTTCCTCTTGTCTCTCCTTCGGCGTCTTCTTCTGCGGGTCTATTCGGCGGCACCTGCGCCTCGTTAAACCGCATCACTGCCCCTCAGAGGCCGAGGTTGTTAACTGCACCAACATCAAACCCCCCCCCACTGTAACAAACATGTCACTGAGCTTATATAGTAGGCATATATTAAAGCTCATTTGTACAGCATGTTTTTGAATAATTGTCATATAATACTAATCAATCCATGCATATACATTTAAAAATATAAACATGTTAAAATATTTTATAAACTTTACAGTCAGGTTAGCTGTCAGTCTGTAGCATTTTCTTTTTTTACATAATAAAAAAAAGGTATTTGAGACTGAAATAAAGTATATCACAGATGAAGGAAATAGCCATGGTGATGAAAATGTGTTAAAAAAAGGAGTAAATGTCATATAATGGTCTAGGTTGTACTGACGACCTCATCATTATAATTAAACAATGGAGTAGTTTGTTAAATAAGTAAATAACAGGACAAACATGAAATGACTAACAGTAGAGAACTAATTTAATTAGCACAGTGTTAAAATTCTCCACACAGCTCAGCGCTGGCCTGTGACCACACTTGATAGTTGTTTGGTCTCTGACTGCTGATTGCCTGGTCTTTATACAGAAGATGCCAATAAGAATTATTATTTTTAAAAACACACATAGTATGCAGTATAAATCTTACCTCTGACTACATCAAAGGATGGACAACAACAATTCACAAAAAGTTGCTTGCTGGTTTGATAGTATGTAGAAACATGGATAGTCAGTAACATGAAACTTAAGTTGTCTTTTTTGTGCAATATTCTCCAATCCAGATATGGGTTCAAAAATATTTACATTTTCAAACCATCATATACTCAGTACACACTTGAACATCTTGATATGTGTCAAACACAGAAGTACAGAAAAAAATGCAGATATAGTATGGAAATGACTATTTTCTCAACTTGTGCAGCTTCAGTCCTTTAAGGCTCGACACTGCATCAGGTATCACATCAGATTTGCTACAAGATCAGGGACGGCTGGTATATATGGGCTAACAGGGCTAAGCCCCCCCTATCTTTTACAGTAAAGATGAAAAACTATTATTAAAAACCTTAGAACATATTGTTTTGAATTTTGGTAGAACCTAGAGCAGCAACAGCACCGAAAAGTGACAGAAAAACCCAGGATATATGATATATCTCGGGCTAAATGTATTCAGTCCAAGCACAGTAGCATAAGCTTCCATTGACTTTTGATTGACAGGTATCCTGACACGCCCCCTTCATATGCTGCCCATTTGGGCTAAATTCATTCAGCCCAAAGGCTGACCTTCGACCAATCACAGCGCAGTAGCTACAGTACAGTGACCTTCGACCAATCACAGCGCAGTAGCTACAGTACAGTGACCTTCGACCAATCACAGCGCAGTAGCTACAGTACAGTGACCTTCGACCAATCACAGCGCAGTAGCTACAGTACAGTGAGGCTAGTTGGTAGTATGGCGGGCGTTAGCATGAACATGAACGAGGTGGATTATTTACTTTCTAATCAATTTTCTTTAAAGTATTTGGAGGAAAAATTGGAAACACAGAGATTGGGGACATATCATCCAAATGATGTTCAAATAACACAAAAGGACAAACGACAAAATCGTTATTTTGTGTTACGTGGTTTCAGCTAACGGACTGGCTAACAGGTTTGGATCCAACAAGGAATTGTGGATTTAAAATATTTATCCGACTAAATTAGGAAACATGAATGTAGCACGAGCCACATTGGAAATAGCAAAGTTGTCATTGCTGGGTAAAGTGAGCCTGTCAGCTTAATGAGGGTCACCGCATCCTGTACAGAGACACAACGAGCTGGTAAAAAACAACAGGCATTCACTATCACGGATTGTGGACTGTATTACATTTTGTGGGGACACAAGCTCGCCCTGCGGGGGTCCGATTAATCTCCCACTTCACTCCAGCGGCGACCAGTTCTCTTTTTAGACAGTCAATTAGCCAATCACCTGTCAGATATACAGGTTGCAAAGTACACATCTAAGACCACAGATTCTCTCTAAACGAGACAGGACCTGGAGAATGTTTCGTGCTCCATATCTGAACTGCTGACCACAGATGACCATCAGCCACATCCAGATGTGGACACAGCTGCAGCCGCTGCGTTTTAAATAAGGTATGCCCAAGCTCTGAAACAACTCTCTCTTCTACAAATAATTAGTTTTGCTTTGGTTTTATAGATTTATTTCTGGTACATGGTGTTGCAAATTGTTGCTGATACTTTTCTATAAAGTAGTTGTAGCACAATTGGCATGTGCTGATGTGTACAGAAGAGAGAGAGAGAGAGAGACAGAGATTTTTTTTTGGCATCAGGTCATTCTTTTGGGTTTGTCTCCCCAGTGTTGCCGTAGAGCACTTGCTATAACAAAGTATACAATGTTGTTGCTGTAACTTGATGTGATGCTGCTGTTGCTGCTGTGTGACGTATTCATGAGTGTAATGCATTTGTTAGCCCACCCACCCAAAATCTCCACCAGCCGTCACTGTACAGGATATTCTCCAGTTGTTTGGGACAAAACTGCACCATAGCTGATATTAGTCAGGATTATTATACATCCCATTTACACATTTTGTAGACAGAGTAAACCAATATTTAGTCAAGATCTGTCCAAGAGCGAATGGAGAACAACAGACACCCTTTTGCTTCCAAAGCTATGTGTCTTCATCTTCCGTCCAGTCCTCTATTCTTCTCTCTGTTCCTCTTCCTCGTTGTTTTTATATGTTTCCAGGGTTACACTGCTGCTTTTTCCCCCGTGTCCTTCCTTTCCTTCTGCAGCAAGATGCAGCCAGTTTTCTCTGTTCTTCTTACAACCATTCATCAGTGGGGAGCAGGTGTCAAACAGTCTTGACACAGCCTGAGAGAGACAGACACGATGATTGGAGTGATGCAGAAGTGCATCAAGAGGTGCAAATTAGAGCAGAGGATAAGAGAACAGGACAACAATGGGTACAATATTGTGGTTTTCTTTGCCTTACAAACATGTACACACGTGTGTGGATCATATCATCCACACACATTCAACGCCTGCAGAAATAACACACCTTGTAGAGTGGATAGCAGATATCATCAATGTATTCAACTTGCATGCATGGCAGTCGGGTGCTGTTTTCTCTGTTCATTATGTCCTGGTGAGAAGAGAGTGTAAACTGTTAGAATATGACTATTTAGGAGGTCAGATCGATTGTAGTTGATCTAGTCAAACAGTATTATTTTTTGGTTCTCAAAGTGCTGCCAGAGAAGCATTAACAGCCCTTTGTGCAGTTTGTATAAAGACCCTGTGGGATGAAACACTGCATGAAAAAACACCCATGATGCCACCGTGACTAAAGCAGACATTCCCCTTGGAAGGCAAACAAATCAATGTGTTTGAATAGTAAAAAGATAACTGTGTGCTTTTCCTAATTCCTTCTCTACTGTTATTAAGGTTTGTGATGCTATTTCGAGCAAAGAACAAGAAAAATGAATCCGAGGAGGATTAAAACATTCCTGAAGGACTTAACATGAAAAAAAAGCTGCATCAGGGAGGTAAAGTCACCCTCTCAGGATGAACGTGATTCTTACTTTTCCATACAGAAGAGTGTAAATATATATATATATATGAGATAAATAACATGATTAGCAGCCTCCCCATCTAATCAAACTAGCCAGTCAACAATTTTTTGAGAACCCTTGGTACACTATAAAATGTCAAAATCGTGCTATCAGGACTTACAATGGGTTTGATTTTGAACTCTTCTCTCTCTTTGTCCCCTTGTGCAAAGAACTCCATGGCAACCAGGTTGGCAATCTGTTTTGGAGGAGGAGTGAGGTTACGGTTGGGATGAACTCAAAATGACTCAAAGTGATTAAGTGTGACGTGTTCAGATGAAAACCATTTTGTGAGACCTACCCTTTTTTGTTCGGGCCAAGGCTTTGTGATAGCAGAGAGGTCACTAGCTGTCATCAACATCGACCTTCGGGGCGAACACATGTCTTCAATGAACAGCCTTGTGCCCCATTCTAATCATAAATATCATTATCTTATGTCCCTGATTTTAATGTATTTTGATTCTCACCTCAGTAAATCTCTTTTTTTCTCACTCTTCCAGTTCACTCTGCTTTTCTTAGAGAGAGAAAAGAACTCTTTTCTTCTCCTACAAAGACGAGCACAAAGAACAAGGGTACAACAAGGCATACTCAATGCTTGACCTACAGCTACTTTGACATTTTACATCTTGACATACTCCATGTAGACGGTCAGGTCAGTGGCGAGGATTGCCCTTTTGATCATATGCAGTACCGCTCTGTGGTCTTCTGAAGAGAGACCACTGAGAATCTGACTCCCCTGGGAGAGGAAGAGAGAGACAGCAACTGAGTAAGAGAGTGAAGTAAAGGGAAGACTCTCAGTGACCACTAGATACATGCCGTCAGAAAACAATTTCCACACTTTGTCTCAGATAAAATAGAATAATCACCCCTTTCGTGGAGACTAGGCAACATTTCTCTTGTAGAGTATCTGGTGACATTTCAGCTTTTGCATAGTATGCCATTTTTGAAGAAACATAAGAATCCCATTTTTATAAGTATTATAATTCTAAAATAATGACTTAATATCCATAACATAGATAAACAAATATATCAATATCATGTTTTTGCTATGACACTATGTGTGCATGTGTGTCATGCAAAGTGTAAAATAAAATGAATTAAGTGAAAGAGACAGACACTGAAACAGATACATGTCCATCTAAGTGTGATGATTGAAGAAAAACACATTATGGTTTGTGGTTGTATTAGATGAAACATGTATCAGGGACAGCACGTGGACACACCGATGATTGTGTGGATTGATGGTTGAGAAAGAGATGGGTCCAAATTAATGGAAAAATGAGTGGGTGAGGTCTTACAGTGTTGTTTAGGATGAAGAGGCACAGGTTGTAGTGGTGATTTTCTAGAGAAGAATGTCCATACAGTTGAGCTAAAGGCTGTTGACTCCTGAGAGAGGAGGATAAATGATTATTTATAAATTAATTACTGAATATAATAAAGCAGTAACTGACAATTGATTGTATAATCAGTAATACGTACTTACCTTTCTATGTAAGAGTTACTGACTCCTCTGTGATCAAGATCATGATTCAGAGTGGCTATCATCAATGCTAATATCTCCAGACGGGAAAATATTGTCTGAAATACAAACAGAAAGAGATGGACAAAGAGAGAGAGAGAGAGAGAGAGAGAGAGAGAGAGAGAGAGAGAGAGAGAAATAGAAATAGAAATAGACATAAGTAGTGTTTTACATTTTGCAGTTTTCACATTTAAATCAATCAGTCAAGGGAACAAGGCACATTTTCACTCAACTGTTCTTTTGTGTAACCTTAAGGCTCTTGAATGCAGGACCAAAAAAAATACAGAGATTCTGTACTAGTTAAGTTACGTAAAGCATATTTATATTGCACCTTCTAAGAATGAACATGAAAAAGTATCCCACAAAATTAGCCAATAAAAAAAAAAGTTTACACTTGTTTTGGCATTGAAAACAGAACCACAACACCCAAACTTGTTAAAATATAATTGGGTTGTAATTTCAAGTTTGTGATAAAAATGTCTTATGTAAGTTGGCATGGATGCTGATGTGTTAATAATGGTCCATGTCCTAATCAAAAGTTACACCAAATATCTTAGACCATGTTGATAAAGGACATAACTCAACAATAAATGCTGATGTATGGTTGAAATGAAATATACGATCCTAAAGACCATTAAAAGGTATTAAAGCGTGAAAGTAAAAATTAATGCTGATTTAATAAAATGTTTTAAAAGCTTTGTTCTGCAGGACAAAGCCATATCAGATCTGACTGATTGACCCAAAGAATTGACCCAAACATCTAGCCAAACCAATGACTACTGTGGCATTAATACAATTTGCATGAAAACCTATAAATCAAAGAAATGACAGAAACACCAAAGTGTTATTGTCATCGAGAGAGAGAGCGAGAGAGAGAAAGTGAGTGAGTGAGTGTGAGAGAGAGAGAGAGAGAGAGAGAGAGAGAGAGAGAGAGAGAGAGAGAGAGAGAGAGAGAGAGAGAGAGAGAGAGAGAGTGAGTGAGAGAGAGAGAGAGAGAAAGACAGCAAAGGTCACTTTGATTTAGTCCAGTCCGTGATCTCCATGGAAAGAAGTTAAGAGGGTTTTGGGGAGGTCTAAAGTGAATCCTCTTTCAAATAATTAAGAGTGCTCTGTACCGGAGAAACCATGCAGTCCTTGAATGACTTTAAACAAGCTGAACTTAAAACTGATGAAACTCAGTATACATTTATCAGCATAATGCAACCGTCAAGACAAGACAATTCCACATAGTTGACAGTGAACAAAATGATGATGAAAAAATATGATTTCCTAGGCACATGTCACATTTTCCTGACTGTATATAATGAGACAAATGAACAATTTGATACAGGTCACTGGTCAGTCAGCACTACATTTGCGCAGTGTCCACTATAGGACTGCTCTGCTATAACCATGATGAAGACCTATTTCAGAGCAGTCCTTTTGACATGATTGTAGACTAAACACAGGTGTTACAGATGTTACTAATTAAGGTTTGATTCCATTCAGGTCAAAGATGGTGCTGCTATTACATATTGGCTCACTGGAAATGCTCTGCTACACTCTGCTAGTATCATTGATAACACCTGTGTTTACCGTATCATTTCATGTCAAAATGACCGCTGTTGTCTTGGCAGGGTAGGCTTGTCAAACCACAAATAAGCTCTCCGTGTCTGTGTTGTTTTATATGGAAAATAAAAAGGTGGTTAGTCTCATGCTCACTTCGCTGAAGCTGTCTGATGTATCACTTAACCCACTCTATTTCTGGTCATCTTAGAACAATCAGGAATCATGAATATCATTTTGGAACAAAAAGTCAGCACTCCAAGGTAAAGAATCGTAATGCTGCCATGCCAGAAAAATAAAAACTGATGATTGATTATTGTTAGAATAACATTGCTATAACGTTAAAACTTTTCTTGTTATAACAATATACCATTTATATTGTTATAACGGGAAACGTGATAACATATATCACATTCACATTCAAAACACTTATCACATTATGACAATATATATTATCACTTTATAACTTAAAACGTATTGTTTTATAGCAATTATGTTATGTAATGTTTCAGGTTAAAACAAGACAACTAGCATGTTGTTATAATATAAAATAATAATATCTCATGATACTAATCCGTTTTCCTTTTTCTGGCATGGCAGCAATACATTGCTGTACAAAGGTTTGGGATGCAAAATATTTCCATGAGACATTCTGAAACATGCTAGTTTGGCACACTCAAAAAACTTACATTATCTTTGCATATTTGAGTTTTGGTAGTAAATGGTCCTGTACTTGTATAGCGCCTTTCTAGTCTTCCGACCACTCAAAGCGCTTTTACACTACGTGCCACATTCACCCTTTCACACACATTCACTCAGTGATGGCAAAGTCCATTGAACAGAAACTAACATTCATACACACTCACACCGATGCATGGCATCGGGAGCAATTTGGGGTTCAGTATCTTGCTCAAGGATACTTCGACATGTGGCACCAGGAGCCGGGGATTGAACCCACAACCTTCCGATTAAGGAACGACCCACTCTGCCTCTGAGCCACAGCCACCTCCAGTGACATCTAATGTACATGTACATGAGCAAAAAACAAATGCACTGACCTGGAATTGGTCTGTGGCCATTAGCATAGCAAACATGCTCTGAGCAGTGCTCAGTGCATGGTTCCAGTTGTGATAAGGCACGCTGTTCCTGTAACCACGTCTGACGGTTAGGACCCACTGACAGAGATTCTGAAGGAAAAAGACATGTACAAGAGGTGGTCAAATCTGAAGAAAGATCAAAGATGGATTGATATCAGTAACACTCTTGGAGGTAAACTACATCTCATCATATGTCACATGCAATAACTCTAAATATTAACAACTAGAATCTCCTAAAAATTTTGATAAAAACTATTTTTTTTTTTCATTTTCATATAGGCTCATTTGGCAATCTCAGTGTGTAGATATATGAAGAGCAATATAAAGTTTCCATGAAGCGTAATTATTAACAGGTCAGTTACCTTATAATCAATGTTAAAATCCTGCACCAAATTGAGGTCCAGGAACATACGAATGGTGGCCTGAGTGGTCAGGTCTTCTGGCAGACCAAAATCAGAGAAATGGAAGTCTAGAATAAACAGTGATTCGGCAGAAGGAATAGTGGCCTCCTGAAAACAAAAAACAAAATGAAACACACACTTACAGGCACAGAACATTCATCCACCCACAAACATAACTGAAAACATGTGATTTCTTTTTCTACCTCTTGCCCACACGGCATACTGTACTGTTTAAGGTTGGAGAGGACGTTGATAGCAGCTAATCAAGAGCTTTAAAATGTTAAAGCCAGTTAATCTGACCTGCAGAAAAATAAACTAAGCACTAAATCCAGGACAACACATGGGGTGATAATACAACAGGGAGAGAAAACATCTTATTAAAGATCACTTATTATTTACATGTCTGATATTACACAGTGTGCCAGGAGCTGAAGGCTAGACTGGACTGCAAGAAAGTTAAGAATCACCTGCAATGCTTGGATTTCCTGCTCTGCTGCGGTGATGTGGTAGGCAAGAACCTGTGAGAAGAAGAGTGAACACACCAACCAGTGACACTTGAAGTTGCAAAAACAGGTTCGCTTGGCTCTAGGCTTAAGATGTGAGTGGATTTTATAAGGTTACCCACCTCCTGTGTGACCTCTATACTGGCCCTCCGCTCCTCAGTGATCTGCACAGCCTGGGCATACTGCAGTGCCAGGCCGCAGTACACAGCCAGGTCCTCTAGTAGGCGCTCATCATATCTGTTAAAGGCTTCCACCTCATCTGAGTCCCTGCTTCTTTTGTTCATCAGCTGGCACACCGCTATTTTTGACAATAAAGAAATGGAAACTGTATCTGTATGTATTTTCTGTCTTTCCAGCACATGATCTAGTAGATTTTAATTAAACCCTTAAGTAATAGTCTTAATCACACTGCCAAACAGCAAACAGCTGACTTCCTTTTCCAGGTAGTCAACACTTGTATGTTTAGTGTGCCAAGCATGGATGACTGTAGAGTGAAACCTATAGAGATTAGTACTCAGAGTGATGAATAATTGCCAGAAGAGACTTACCAATAACATCTTCAGACCTCTCATTTCTCACAGGGCAGCAGATCAGACTCCTCATCGGTTCCCCAGAACTCTCCGACATATTTAGGGTTTCCATAGCAAGCAGAGTTCGAAGAGCATACGACGGGTCTAGATCACTGATGTCACGCTCTCTGAAAAATTGTATGGAACCGTTTACACTATGTTAGGAAAACACAATTTCGGTTTATGTATACGAGCAAGACTTTGAATGTGTTTTAGTTTTATGAGCAAAAAACACAATAATAATAATTTTTTGTCTTTATCAATAAAGCAAGTTGCAGGCACAACCTTCTGTAGATCTGGCAGGTTGATCCGAGCTCCTCACACTCCAGGTGGATCACTCTGGAGAATGAAACCTGAAACCACCACAGTAACAGAAAACACTGTACATTAGGAAAAATACAATTTGATTTTGCATTTTCAAAACAACAACAAAAAAAAGGATCAAACATGATAATGCACCTCGTCTTCCACAACTGTTTGCTCGCCAGGGATGAAGATGGTGTAGTACTGAGCGTGTGTGAATGGCATGATGGTGGCAGCCATCTTACTCAGCAGAACTTCAAAGGACCGGTGCTCTTTTGACAATACCTGTGCCATCTCTATCAAGGCCTGACACACACACACACACACACACACACACACACACACACACACACACAGACAGACAGATAGATTACCTAGACATACATACATAGAAATAGACTGATTTCATATTGTTTGCTGGTGTTTTTACCTGGCTGCGTTTGGCCTCCTGTCTTGAGCTCTCATACAGCTGGACATTGTCCAGGACCATCCCCAACACATCCATATGATTGGACAGCACCTGACCAATAAAAGTCAACTCAAACTTAACTAATCGAAGTTTAGTTAAAATAATTAATTAATTAATTAATTAAGAACAGTCACTTCTTGACAGTCTTTTTGTACATTTATATGCATTCAAATGACAGACAGTATCATATACCAGTAAACAAGGGCTCTAACATTTGCTGCCCTGTAGTAACGGGTCCAAACTTCCCATCCCTCACCTTTTCATCCATGTTGGTAAAAGCAGAAGCTGATCCATCGCATTCATTTCTCTTATTGATCATTAACACTACACCGATCATCTGTCCACAAAAAAAAGACATGTTTTATTGTAACTGTGTTATAACCTCTGCTGCAATATATTAACATTAATCCCACTGAAAGCTCCACAGGATTGTGTTTATATATATTCACCCTGATTAAGCAAGAGACATATGCAAAAAATAATCTTTAAATAAATGTGAACACAGTTCTGAATGTTACCTCTCCCCTGTGGTTCTTGATGGGAATGCTCAAAACACCCCTGATCTTTGATAAGTGCTTGTCATCTAAATTAAATCTGGGGTCCTGAGGAGGTAAACAAAGAACACGTAAGTACATAACACTGCAGACAAGCACATCCCTTATCCCATTAAGACCGGAGGTAACATTTGTGTGTATATTTAACTTGATACATGTGTTTGTTAATCGTATACTGTGCTATTGTGTGTATCAAGATCATAATGTAATTTGGCAGCAACAGACTTAAACACCTACCCAAAATTAACTCTAATCATACCCCTGTGTCCTTCAACTTCCTAACCAGTAACTGAGGGGTATTGCACAAAAGTAGAATAAAGAAATCCAGGATAATTGAGCAAGCGCGGCTTGACCTAGCCTGCTCGGCGCACCCTGGCTTAATTGGTTGCACGTCTGCCGAGCCAGGATGAAAAGGTGCGGCTATGTTAAGCCAGGTGTGGATGGTCAGGATAAGTGCGTGTTCACGGCATACTGAACTAGACCTCGCGATCGCTCACAGAATCACCGATGAGAACATGGATAAGAGTCGCGCTTCATATTTCACGCCCGCTGAACAACAGCTCCTGATGGAGTTCTATGAAGAGGTGGAAAATATAAGAAAAAAAGGCAATACCAATGCCATAATTAAAGAAAGAGAGAAAGCCTGTCAGACAATAGCAGACCGGCTTAATGCTTAAGTAGTCCAAAACTGTACAATGAATAAACAGTGCTCCACTGGAACTGTCATCATTAGGCTACAATTAAAGGACTAAAGGAGTTACTTTAAGTCCACTAATCAACTGTTGTACACTTTGCTTTAAATGTGGCAAGTACAGGTGCATGTTACTCAGGAAATGTAGAGTATGATTAAGTGCAAACAATTATCCACAATGTGTGTCATTTAATCTATTTTTATCTATTTTATCTTTCTATCCTTCATAAAGAACAAACTTGTCTGGCCATAAAAGGACCTGGCAGCAAGTTAAAATTAAATACAAGAACATTTTGCCGGCTGGAAATTGACTATAAAGTAGATAACAGTGAACAAATGAGGTGAATAGATTAGGTGTCTGCTGACTTGTTGAATGTCTGTATTATTGTAGCAGTTAAAAAAAAAGCCCATAGAACTGGCACAGGGGGCGGCCCACCAAGCCAGGATACGTGCGGCAAATGGTTCCTTTATTGAGGTTCTGAATATTATGGTGAATATTATATATATATATATATATATATATATATATATATAATGGCATGCCGTTTAGGAAATGAACCTTGAATATATGGAATGAGTCTTTGAATATATGGAATGAAGCTTGGATATACTGATAAAAATGTGAGAATACTGAATGAAATTCAAAACCTAGTTGTATCCTTTTCATCAAAGTGATAGCCTTCTGAATTAGCTGGTTTTACAAAATGGCATCAGTTGAAATATTACAAAAGTTTCTTGAACTGGAAAACTTTTTTGCTTTTTCTGTCAGGATTTTGCCTGAGGCCTGTTGTAGTCGGCCTGCCACGATTAAAAAGGGAGTGAACTTCTTCGTCAGGAGAACGGTATTGGGCACGGGTACTATCGGGAGGATTTTGGCCCGTACAAGCACTTGCCAATGAGTTAATAATGTCCTCATTGCTCAGTATTGCTGCCACATGGTTCCTGACTGACTCATTCTCACTTCTACAAGATGGCAGCAGTGCCTTGATGACCAGTCAAGTTTCATTCCATATATTCAAAGATTAATTTCCTAAACGGTATGCCATAATATATGTACTATATTGCCCTTGTCACAGTTTTCATTGAAAACACCTTTGCAACTGTGTTTTGTGTTTTGTAATCTCAATTACTGCAATAAAACACATATTTATGCAATTTGACAAGCTGTCTTCATTAGCATAGCAATATAACACTTGGCCTGAGTAATAATACTACCACTTGAATCAATATAAAAAGACTGTTGCAATTACAAACAGCCAACAGATTTAAATGAAATGAGAAATGACTATATATGTAATATTTTAATGCAGGATAATTAAAATGATGCAACATACTTAGAAAGACCATGGACACGCTGTAAAACACATTAAGTCCTCACAGGATTGACGGTGGAAATACAGGTGAATCCCTAGGATTAATCTTAGCCTGGCTGTTAGCCTGGTCTGGAGCAGGCTAGCTGCAGAGAATAAATCACCATAGTAACTTGGCCGGGAAAAGTTGGACCTGCTTTCATGCAACCGACTTGAGGCTAAATTCAGCCAGGATAACCAACATATCCCGGCTTAATCCCTTATCTTGGTTTTGTGCAATACCCCTCTGGCCAGGTTACTAGGAACTACCCAAACACACCCATGCTCACTGGGATTACCCGGTGCGCAGCTCTGCCAGGCGTAATCACATTGGTGTTGAGGACATGGAAGGGTGGTTTGGGCACATACCTATTACAATAAGCCCTTAAGTGAGCTGTAGAGCGTAGAATAGGACATCAACGTCTCAATAACCAAAGGTTAATCAGAGCAAGAAGAAGCCACTGAAAGGATTAGAAGCACGTGCGTCATCTGGGATTCCCTTACACACTCCCACACTCCACAAAATAGCCATCATCATCATCATCTAAACACAGACTGTCAGGAAATGAGCGACTCATTTAACGTACAGTCCTCATTCTGCGTTAAAAGTATTTGGGCCCTAAAACAAACTAACAACTTTGTGTAGAAACTGTAGTCTGTTGTGTGTAAAGCAGTGCTTATTACAAAATGCAGAGTCATGACTACAACTAATGCGTCAGCTGTACCTCTGAAACATCTCTCAGATTCATTGGTGACCTTGTAGCCAGTACACAACCCATAATACCCTTCACCAACTCCAGGTGTGCATGGCTGCAGACGTCGTCTTCGCTCGAGCACCCCAATGCAGTCAGGGCAATCACCTCCTCCAAGATGTTCCTGCCACTGCTCTCTTTCTTTACCAGAGAGAGGGAGCTGCCCTCAGCTGCCAGCAGCTCCCCGGCATGCAGGACGGCCCCCTGGCAGAGCTCTGCTACAGAGCCCATCCAGCTGAGGCCTCCTCTCATGAGCTCCATCATCCATGGGCAGCACTCACCATAGCCGCAGGCTGCAGCCTTTGCAGCAGACGGTCGCAGGGGCAGAGGAGAGTGGGGTAAGTCGGGGGAGCAAGGGCAAACAGGAGAAAGTGGATGGAAGGGAGAAAAAGAGAAGCGTGAAGAGCGGGGAGAGCAAGGGGACTGACAGCACAATATATCTGGACTGCATCCAGAACACTCCATCCACTCAGGGGCGCTGAGATTGCAATTGAGGGGTTTGAGCCTGTCCATGGGGGATGAAATGTTCAAGTGTGAGCCGGTCACTGGCGAGGAAGCTCTGTGATGATGATGAGCCTTCATGAGCAGGTCAGAGTGCTCAGAGCTGCTCCTCTTAGGCAGCAGTGGAGAGGTCTCTGCCTGTGGACCACTGACCCTGGAGTCACAAACAAGACACATAACACAACAAACTGGGAACACACAAATCAGAACACGAACAATATATTGTAGAAAAGACACTGGAAACGACACTGCCTTATTGCAATCACATTTAAAAAATGTTTTTAAAGCGAGATGTTCTTGGATTACAGTCATTGACATCAATATACAGTAAATCATTCAGTCAGTCCGTAATTTAGGTTTATAATTTAAATATCTTACGCGGAGGCTCTGCGTAAAAAGTACGCCCTCGTAAAGTCGGAGTGGTCATCCAGCCATGCCTCCACATGATCGCTTTTCATGCCCTCTCCAAACCTCTTGCTCTGCTTCTTGGAGGCGCGGGGGCTCCACAGCGGGGAGAAGAACCAGCCCATGCCCTTTACCATCGGCGGGGCAGACGGTATTTCACTGCGGAAGGACTCCTCTGTCCCAGCGGCGGAGGCGGAGGGAGATGCGCCGGGAGTCGCGCTGCTAAACTCCATGGAGACCAGGCAGGGCATCCCCTCGCTCAAATAAAGCGAGAAAAGATCGACTAAACTCAGTTTGAGTTTGTCTGAGTTATCTACGAGAGAGTTAACACCTGCTGCGTGGAGGTAGTGAGGCAGACTAATGTGAGGTGCCAGAGAGGAGGAGAGCGATGACTGTAGAGTCAGTGGAAACCATTGCGTCAAGGTAATCCCCTGACCTTTATTTAGCTGGTCTGGCGCCACAGGTTTATTCATTAAAGGGATCCGATTTAAACTGCATTACAGAATAAATGGATTGGGTCCAAACTCTGGTGCGTTGCTCCATCATGAAATGACTGCTGATTCCCTGTCATAGTTTGTATTAGGCTACCCGAGGAAAGCTCTAGTTTCCTCAGTTACTGCCTGTCTTTTGTGGTAATACACAAAACCCCTTATCACTCACATACTGAGAATGATCTGCACAAAGAATATTTTAGCCTCTCTGGATCAGTTCAGGATGTTAATGAGTGTCTTAAAAAAAGACACAGTAAGCATTTTTAAGTAAATACTGGTGGGTAGCATTATAGCTTTGCTTTAATTAGACAATGTAATGTGTAATGAATATAGTAATCTATAACAGCCATAATGTATCTTAAAATAAACTTAAAACGTTCCTTAGGTTTTATACAGTTTTTATTGGAGTGCACCAAAACATGCAGACATTTATGGTTAAAACATGTCCAGTATTGTGATAATAAAAAAGAAAACATGTTAGTGTGAGTACTATAGATGGTATACTACCATTTATAATAGAGTATACTACATGCAGGTTTAAAAGCGTAGAAATCTACAAAGAGATGTCAAATTCTGTATAATCTTAAAGAGAAATAAGGGCAACATCATAATGGGCATGTATGTAAGAGATAGGGAGGGATATAGGTTACATCATCAGCAGCAGTGTATTTTGTTGAGGGAATGCCAAACAGTGCTGTAAAAAGAAAATGTAACAGTCGGGTAGCAATGAAAATGTCAAATTCCACTGTTGGCCAACCTCTGATATTGCCAGATAACACTGTTGTGTGATAAGAGAACCACAACACAGTCAATGTTTCCAGTGCTTAACCAGGCACCTCTCAGTGTCCAACTGCTCCCTCTGCTGGCCTCTTACTTCTTAACCATCTGCAGTGGGTGGATCCATGAGTGACAGCTGTGTCGTGATTGGCTGCTCCAGGAGGAGGCTGCCATGACACAGTGGATGCTGCACAGAATCAGTTCCACAGCATCAGCAGGCAGCAGACCTCCATCCTCCTCGTTATCCCTCTCTCTCCTTCTCTTTTTTCTCCTCCTTTGCCTCTCATCCTCTCACCACCACCCTTGCTCTATCTTCTCTCTCCCTCCTCCTCTCCCTCCAACAGACAGGCAGGGATAGCAGCAGCAGCAGCAGCAGCAGCAGGCGGACTGGTAGGTGTGCTGAGGCCTATCTCCCTCCTGCAGCACAGGCAAGACATTGCGTTCTCCTCTGATCTCCGTCAAGGACTATCTATTTGAGAAGAGAGTGTGTGTGTGTGTGTGTGTGTGTGAGAGCAGGGATCTGGAAAGTAGGCAGAGAGGACTACCACACCTTGGGAGCATTTACTACCACTGCCGGAGCTACACAGGGTGAATGTTGCAATGGATATTTTCACACTCACATCCTCTTCGTCTTGTACTTGTTTCTGTGTGCATGCAGAAGGATTTATATTCTCTGTTCCTTTGCTGGAGGTGTTTGTTGTTTTTCCTCCACTCCCACAGCTCTGCGATTTGCTTCAGCATTGACTAGGCCTTGTGCGACTGCACACGTGTGTCTTTGCTAATGAGTGTGTTGAATGTCTAACAAAGGTCACACCATTTGGCATGCTGTGTGCATGTATTGTCAGCCTGCCTAATGACAGCCCTCTTTCTTTTCTCTCCAAAATTAACTTCATCACCAGCCTTTCCATCCCCTTCTCCCTGCCTCGGGTCTTCTACCTCGCCACTTTTCTATCCTCCTGCATCTCTTTTTTCTCCTTCTCATTCATTTCCCTCTTCCTCAAAACACTCTTTCTCCTCCCTCTCCACTCTCATCTCTGTCCTCCTCACGCCTCTTCTCCCCTTCCGGCCGGCTGGTGTTCCCAGGATGCCTTGTTCCACTCCACTCCGCTAGGCCCTAGCAGCATGGGCGGAGCCTGGGTGGGGAGAGAGAGCACGGATTGGACCCTTCCCCTCAGGACGGGCGCGCTGGCGGGTCACCCTCCCTCAGCTTCAGATGGGCGAGGACGCTGAGAGCCCGAAAATCAACCACACCTTCCTGCGAGACTACGTCACTGAAGGTAGCACAGACGGTGTGTCATCGCCGTCTCTGTGGTGTCAGATAACATGCTGGTATGATTGAATGTGTTCATTTCAGCTTCATGGGGGCATTATCCCTGCACCGCTGGATATAGGGAATAGATGTTGACATTAATCACTCAATGACTTACTGAACGCTCACTGTTGGGTTTTAAATTTTAGATGTGATTTTAACATCATATAGTCCTGTGACAGATACATGTTTGATTTATGGTTTGGAGTCTCAGGAGCTGAAGGTAGCAGAAATAATATTTGGTGGTTATCTTCTTGTCCCATTTAAAATGTATCCATGTCAGGTTCAGGCATCATGAGTAAGAGTTATTCTGGTTTTATTGAACATGATACTTTGTATTGATCCAGTATGTTCTTCTTTCGTATCCTCCCCTTCCACATTTCTTATTGTCTCTTAATTCTATGCCTCTCATTTCCCCTGTACCTACTTAATTTCCTTTCTACTCATCTATCATCTCTTTGTCTTTCTCTCCTTTGCCCCTATTTTTATACTAACCATTATCCTGCTTAATCACTCCACATTTTTTTCCCACTGTCCTCCCAGCTGATGTCATCTCTACAGTGGAGTTTAACCAGACGGGGGACCTACTGGCCACGGGGGATAAAGGTGGCAGAGTGGTCATCTTCCAGAGAGAGACGGAGGTCAGTGTAATATATTATACCGATGATATCCACAAACACTGCAGCCGGGATGTTCTTCTGTTATATCTCTACGCGTAAATGTTCATTCTTTATTTTCTTTCACTATTTGCCCTGGACAGTCTAAAGGGGAGTTGGAGGAGGTGGGGGAAACGGGGGACTCCGGGGAGTACAATGTCTACAGCACGTTCCAGAGCCACGAGCCAGACTTTGACTACCTGAAGAGTCTGGAGATTGAAGAGAAAATCAACAAGATCAGATGGCTGCCACAGCAGAATGCAGCACACTTTCTCCTCTCCACCAACGGTGAGAAACCACAGACACCAGGAGATCACCACATTTCTAATCCCCAGTTAGGGTGAAGCTCAAATAATAGACCTGTGTATATTTTGTACTGTGACATATTAACAGTGAATATTTCGATTGATATTAGGAATGACATTAGTACAACCTACGTTCAGTTATGCCAGCCTAGCTTAATCTTCTATTACCTGGATGGGATAATATAATGTCAGTCCAGCAGTCATTGGAGTCCAATTTTTGGGTACACTAGTGGCACCAACCTGCCAGAATAAAACCCACAGAATGTGTGCTTTAATTATACTTGTGTCATAAGACTTAATGCCCTGAAATCTGTGAGACAGGGATCATATTTTGAATAAATGTAGCTCAATTTACCAAAAAAGTACAATTATGATATGTACTAACATTTGGAACATGCCTCAGAAATAGGAAATATATAGAATAAATCATTATCAGTTGTCTGTAGCTTTAATTGTCTCCTTTCTCTGAGCTTCCTGTGATGTGCAAATTATTGTTCCTGTCACAGATAAGACCATTAAACTGTGGAAGGTGAGTGAAAGAGACAAGAGACCAGAAGGATACAACCTGAAAGATGAGGAGGGACGATTCAAGGACATCTCTACCATCACCTCTCTGCAGGTGCATGCACACACACACACACACACACACACACACACACACACACACACACACTCACTCACACACGCACATGCAAGCCTGCACATGCACACCATTATTCATAGTCAAATACTATATCTATCAAGTTGACATTTAGTTGACCAGCACACTGTCTATACCATTCATATCTTTCTAGCATAATGATTCCTGACTCTTATGTCCTCCAGTTTATGTCTTCCTTGTTGTCCTTCTATCACCCTATTTCTTACCCCCGCTTTCTTTCTTTCTTTCCCTCCATCTTTACTCCTTCCTGTCTCTGTACCGAAGGTGCCGGTGCTGAAACCTACAGACTTGATGGTAGAGGTTCGTCCCCGGCGAGTGTTCTCCAACGGACATACCTACCATGTTAACTCCATCTCAGTCAACAGCGACGGGGAGACCTACCTGTCTGCTGATGACCTCCGCATCAATATGTGGCACCTGGGCATCACAGACCGCAGCTTCAGTATCCTTCCTAACAGTGATTTGTTTTGTTTATGTCATACCCATTTCATTTTTAATCCCACCGTGCTCACATCATCCTCTGCTTCCCGTAACAGTAGCTGGCCACTGATTTTTGTGGGTAATGTAATCTTTCACTGGAGGAGGCCACTCGCATTTCACAGGGTATGGAATTTCTAGAACTTCACTAACTGAAAGTACAAAGTAGATCACTGGGGCTATTATTTTCACTGTTACGAAAGTATTAGTGTGTATCATCACAACTAATTCTGCAGCAGCAATGTGAAAATTAGGGCCATTTTAGGTAGAAATCAACAGGAATAAGGAACAAAATAAGAGTAGAATAGATGTATAGTGGAAACCCCTAGTGCATGCCACTGTGCCTTTTCCTATATAATAAAGTTTAAATTGTGTAATAATAAACTACTTATTTTTTAGGGGGGTTGAATTCACATTCGTTAAATTAGGACAGCGACATTTGGACTGGAGCAAAATAACATTTTTGTCAGGGCAGACTAAAACCCTGTAATGATCACATTTAACAGTGTTGATGTGCTTATGTGCCAAGATGTAGATACCTGCTGTTTGAAGCTCTGGGAAGTAGATTCACATAAACTATATTGTACATGTGTATGGCATGCTGTGTTTTAGAAATACCTACCTTTGAAACCTAGTGTGCATAGTTTGTATTTGTCAGTTTTGCCATCTGCTACTATCACACAAAAAATACTATCACACAATTCCCCCTCTTGAAATATAAATACATTTA